AGATTTCACAAAGGGTAGAGCAGAGACTTTCTGAGAGGGATGATACACATATGTATCTCCTAGGTATTGATATTAGCAGTGGTTCCACAGGTATATACACTTGTCAAAACTTAGTGAATTGCAAATTTGATACATATAGTTTATCTATATAAAATATAGATAACTTAATAAATGTAATTTAAAAAACATGGCCTTGCAGTAGAGACCAAACAGTAATAGTTAAAAAGAATAAATCATTTTGAAAAAGGTAATTCTCAAAACTAGAAATATAAATGGTCATTCTATCAATTATTAAATAAACAAGAGTGTACCTTCACTTTTTCCCCTTCTTTCTTCAAATCACTTGATCTTGAATTCTAGCTCAAAGACCTGGATGAGTAGGGGTGGATGACTCTTCTTAGACCAGCAAGTACAAGTCAAGTGTTAAGGAGGTCTGGGCAACTCAGCTAAAGAAACTTAGGACCCCCTTATTCTGGAGAAAATTTCACTTTGGATTCCTTATACTTAAAGGAGACATCACTGCTTATTTTGCCTAATCTGCTGTTATGTTGAGTCTTGTCATAGTGTCCATTCTGTGTTATATAATGATTAAGTACTTCACTCAATCAATTTGTGGTTATCTTGCCTGGACTTTGCATAAGCCTTTTCTCTGGGCTTTCATGGGCTGGTGGTGCTCTATAACCAGTCTCCTGTAGGTGTCAATGTGGTCTTGTGAAATATAAATCTCTTACCATGCTTGGGTTTAAAACTTGTTCATGGCTTCTAATAATGACTAGAATAAGCTCTAAAGCCTTCATGTGAGCTTCATCTTCTACTTTACTGCCTAGTTCTCCAAAGGAATGGAATTTAGCTTCTTTATTCACCACATTTACAGCGTATTATTATTCTTCCTACCCCAAGACACTGGTGTTCCTCTTCCAAAAACATTCAGATTTTCTCTCAGCAGGTTCCAAATGGTTCATGGACTCACTGTAAATGTCACTTCCCCAGAGAGGTGTTTCGCTGACCATACTAATTAAAACAATGTCTCAACCCAAGAAAACATCTTTCTGGTTGACCTGCTTTATTCTCTTCATGGAATAAACCAAAATTAGCATATGAGCAACTCTTATTTTTCTTTTGAATAAAATATAAACTCAGTGAAGAAAAAGTTTGTCACCTTTCTTCAATGGAGTATCACTTATAATAAGATCTACTAAGTAGGTACTCAGTGATATATTTTAAGTGAATAAAAGTTCCCAAATTCAGTGCAGTTTATACCATTTTAATCCTATTATTAGTCTTAAAAGTACTGGGACCATCCTTGATTCCTCGACTTCTTACCTAGTTAACTATAAATCTACCATGAGCTCTTTTTACTTCCCTCCCCCTCGGCCTGCCTGCCCAGGCCACTGGGATCCTCTATGCTTTTACAATGGCCCTGGTCGCCCCTTTCAGGAGCTATATGATTTCCATCCTCCTCTTCTCCTTCCTTCTCTACGTTTCCTAACTCTCTCCCATGATTTATTTGTTCTAGAAATTTTTAAATTCTCTGAAACTTACCATGTTTGTTGGTTTGGTGCTGGGGATAACATCCAAGGCCTTGTAGACGTTGAATATGTATTTACTACCAAGCTACATCCTGACTCACTGCAGGGAAATTTGCATATCCTTTTCCTTTACCCGCGGCCCTCCCCGCTTTCACCCTTGCCCACAATTGGTCTGCTACTCCTGCTCAGTGATGTGGGCCAAATCTCACTGGGCATCACATATATCAAGAGACCTTTCCGGAGCCCGAACTCTTGAGTCGTGCCTTCCCTCTGACTATGTCCTCACAGATTCAGCAGTTATTATGTGGAGTTGTTGCCTGAGTCCTGTACCTTGACCATATCTCTCCCCGAGTACACGCTATCAGTCTCTACTGCCCACTGTTCTCAGCATTATCTGTCAGAATGCTTGGGACCCAGTAAGCATGTGGTGAATGCTTGAACGAGTACCACCGTCACCACAAGTACCTATTATTAGATTCATTATAATTTTTTGAATCAATAGGCAGATGGGTACATAGATAATACTAGCTCACAGTGGGCATACAAATGGTAACTCAAGAGTGTTCTATAGCAGAAAGCAGTGTGACAGCTCCTTTGAAATTTTTTGCTGGTAACTTCTGCAAAGGTAAGGATGTTATTATAAGATGTTGCACAAAAATCTAATGAAAAATCTGCCTTTGGGGATAAGAACTGTAGGTGAATAAAGCTGATGAAAGAAAATTACTGTTAGACATCTTATGTCAAACAAACCTTGTAACTTTTGTTTTGTGCCTCCCAGCTTGAGTGCGTAAGAGAAAAATGCAAATTTTCCAAATGAAGCACAGCTAACAGTGTGTAAATCTCAGGAAGACAGTAGGACACACTTATTAAAGCTTGGCAAGGTTCAGAAATGAATGATTTTTCCTCTGAAATGCCAGATTTTTTTCTTTTTAAGATTGGCTCTCCCCCAAAGCCACATCAATTATAAATAATTGTCTGCTAGCAAAAATAGCACTGCTAACCTTAAAGCAAATAAACTACAAAATTAAACTGATTAAAAATAAACGAGAGATTGAGCTTTTCTTAAGGAGACAACTTTATAAACATGCCAGAGTCTTTCCTATCTATGTCTACGAGTGTTAATTTAAAATTTTGAGGTGTTGGGGCTGGGGATTTAGCTCAGCGGCAAAAGCGCTTGCCTGGCAAGCGCAAGGTCGTGAGTTCGGTTCCTGGTACCGGAGAAAAACCAAAAAAAAAACTAAAAAAAAAAAAAAAAAAATTTTGAGGTGTCACACATTAATGTTCTGCTGTTAGCAGAATTTTCTAGTAATCTGTATTTAGAACTCCTTTATAGGAAAATTATTTAATGTTTACTTTATGATTCTTCTTGTAATCCCTTTTCTGAAGGTTCTTCCTTCTGCATAACCAAAACCAACCCATGCTAGTTTCGGTAACAAATGGTAGCTTATTTTAAGGATACAGGGATGTATCATGTAAAATATAGCTAGCTCTCAGGAAAGGAAGAATTTCCATAGAATCAATCTCCCATCTTTGTTTTACTTCCGTCTTTATTTTTCTTAACTTCTTCTTATCCTTATATTTTTTTCTCTTTGTTGTCCACATGGCCCAATATTGCTACCCTAATCGTCTCTCTTAGTCTTAGAAAAAAGAATCGACTAGTTCAGTTCGGGCTTGAGTCCAATAAACCAGTCACAGCGGGCTGGACTATGCAGTAAAAGACCTGCTGAGACTTCACAGATTGTTACCAATCCAGAGAAGGCCGTCTGATTACTGGTGCCTTCTATAGGTGTCTATCAGGCCTTGAATAGAACCATGAAATACTCACCTTATGTTGAATGAGAGGCTATAATGGAAAAGAAAACAATTCTATTCATGTCTTTTCATTGAAATGGACTTTCCAGAGACCTTGTCATGTGAATTCTGTCTGCAATTTTTTCTCTGGACCCATATACATGAAAATTTTAAAACAGCTCTGTTTATAGGAGGATTTATATTGGAACCATAAGTGTCACGGGCAAGTGGCAGTATTCTTTCCCCTGCCTCCCTCCCTCTTCCCTCCCTCCCTCCTTCCTTTCCTTCCTTCCCTTCCTTCCTTCCTTCCTTCCTTCCTTCCTTCCTTCCTTCCTTCCTTCCTTCCTTCCTCCCTTCCTTCCCTCCTTCCTTTCCTTCCTTCCTTCCCTCCTCCTTTCTTCTCTTCCTTCCTTCCCTCCTCCTTTCTTCTCTTCCTTCCTTCCCTCCTCCTTTCTTCTCTTCCTTCCTTTCCTCTTTCTTCTTTTTCCACCACTCAGCGTAGTATAGACTAGTCTGTAGTAGGAGTGTGACTGACACTTAGAAGAGCTGCGGATCACAGCAATACATTCATCCAGGCTGTTCACTCTTCTGTGAGGACTCCAAGGGTCAAACACTGATAGCTAAAGAAGGTCAAGATTATTTTCATATGTGGCTATTTTAGGAATTCTGGATAAGTGTCTTCCCCAAAACATCCTTTCCATAGCTTCCTGAAGGCTGTTATGACAATTTCAGATCTCCCTTAGATTAGATTGCTGCCTATTTCCTAACATATATGGATAGCTCCTATCATTCTTTTAATAAGTAGAGCTATATTTTGCTTTCTATTATTCCCTACAGTTATCACAGAAGTAAAAACTTCAAAATCCAACTCATTCTGCCCCATCTCCTTGTTCCCATTTCCTACGACTTTGTTTGTTCTGCAGTCTCTGGGTTGGTTATAAGTATCATCTCCTCAGTTAACGAATCGAATCTAGAGATAGGGTAACTTACTCCATGTTCCCGACCAACCACATTTCTCTTGTTTTCAGGTCCTTTTGTGACTTTACAAAACTCCCTCAAATCTATTTTACGTGGCTTTTCCTCTCTGTATTGTGTATTCTGAACTCATCATTTCTGTCTTGGACTACTATCACCATCTATTAAGGCAGTCATTGTTTACATCCTTTTTTCTCCATCTATATTCACGTCAGAAATACGCTTCTATAAGCACAGTGAGATGATTACCTACATCTTCCGAAATTCATTTGGGGGTCTCTATTGTGAATAGGGTGACAGCTGAGATGCTGTTTAATGTGATATGTACAGTTTTCATTTCTGTATCTCTACCAGACATACTATCTTTGAGGCACTCTGAAACTGTGACCATGCAACAAACATGCGATAGTAATGGCAATATGAATATGAATATAAATACATGTATTTTAAGCAAAACCATGAATCAAGCTCAGGCCCTTGCACTTGCCAGGCAGGCACTGTACTGCTGAGCTATTTCAAAGGACCAATGGTCTTATATTTTGAACACAGTACTTGATATTTTCAGTGTTTATAACATCTCATCTGAGTTCCTTAAGGGCAGAGATGGCGTCTTTGTTTACCCTGTTTACCTTTGTTTGTCCGTTTTAGGGCAGTACCTGAAATAGAACAATAGAACTAAGTACTGATTAAATGAGGCTATGCCAATTCAACGTGTCTATGCATTTACTTTTCAACTTGGAAGACCCTGTGCACCACATACAATGAAAATGTACCGTACGCACCGATGACTTCTTCACTGTGCCACGTCAGTAATAATTGCCCTGCGTTGTGGTGACGCCGCAAGTGAGGCCATCGAGAAGGGCACTCACGGTGGGAATGCGCAGAGCTTTGCTGGCGCCTCGGACAGACGGCCTCTAACCGGGAGCTGGAGAAGATGTCCGTGCCAGCCTGGGTCTCACCTGCAGTGTGAGCGCATTTTAGGTTCCCATAGTAACCATTACCTCCTTTTGGGGAATCTTACAAGAATGTCGCACAATCATCACAAAGTTTACTTCTCCCAGAAGGTCAGACCACTGAATTCCAAACGACCTTGGGAGTTTAAATTCTAGCCCACTTCCCAGTCTGTCCTGTCTGTTCTCATTTTATGACTCTGCTCTGCCCTGAGTTGGTAGCTAACCGAGGTGACTGGGGTGAACCACAGCTTCAGTGAATTTTAAGTGACCTCTCTTAATATGCAGTTAGAAACAGAAAAATGAAGTCTCTTGCCTTACCAATGGAAAATTATTTACTGAAGAGTTTTGTATCATGGGGGACAACCGAAAACCACAATGCTGAGAAAAATTATAAAAGGGCAAATCACCTCCTAACTATAAGTTTTTCTTTGTCCTTCTTAAATTTAGGTGCTCAATTCATTTAAATATTATTTCACAATACTAATTTAGGTTTTTGAGACATTTTATTCATACTTTTACGTTTCCCCAAAGCTCAGATATCCTTGACAAGCTTAAAACTCCCATTCGTATGTAATAGGATGTTATGTTTAGTCTCTTCTAAGAAATAAAGTGAAAGTTTCACGTCAAAGTCAGACCATATTGCAGGACTGATGAAAAGGACAGGGTGGAGAACTGGTTTTGGAACCCTGAGCTGGTCACCAGTCTATGCCTTTTAAAAGTCTGCAAAGCCAACACGGGGATGGAAACAGAGAACTTCTGGAAAGCTGCAGGGATGCTATGTGACCTTTGCCTCTCCAAAGGGAAAAGCCTTGGTGCTACCAAAATATAATTCCAGTCATCAGAACTTGATGTTCTGTAAACAAAGAACTTGCATGTGCCACATTTATGCATCTATTAGGGAATGAAAACCTGGCTGGAAAAGCTGATTCAAAAATTTTTTGATAGGTTGAAAATATGCAGGAATTGAGAAAATACATTGGCACAAGAGTTTCAGGTTGGATTAAAAATTGATTAATATTTAATAAGTAACAAAACCATCATTTTAAAAATTATTTTACTTAAAGACAGATATTTGCATATCCAGATATAAAAGATATGAAAGATGAAGGTGAAAAAAATCTACAAAGCAGCATATTATAGAACTAGAATCCCTATCAAGAGTAAGTCTTATCAAAAATCTTACAGAATTAGCTAAGTTTTGGGTTATTATAGGCAGTGTTCTGGCTATGTAAAGACACCTGCTTGCTCTTAACCTTACCACCAAGCTTTGACGATGTGTGTTGGCAGCCACTGACGCTCATTTCAAACTAGGAATCTGTGCTGTGCCTCAGTGGGTTCCTGCAGTGGGATACAGGGGTCTGTTTTGTTTTACTTCCATCAAAGCAATCAGAAGTAGCGTCGAGCAGGCTGCCTGCCAGTGTAGAGTTAAAGAGAGGTGGCCTTGTTGGCTGCCCTACACTCCACAGCACAGAAGGGCAATGTATGCATGGTGATCTTTTGTAGCCGGGTGTGGAGCATGTGGGAATATGAGAGAAAGTGGGGACCTGTAAACTCAACCTAGGACCACTGAGACCCCATGCAGAGAAGCAAGGACAATCATTTGGTGCCTAAGGGCTCCGTAAGCGAAGGTCCGAGGGAAATGCGTCATTCTCACCTGGGAGGAGGAAGATGAGTGCTTTCCAGGGAATGGCAAGGCTTGGAACACCGGCCAGCCTCTGTGTCACGCTAACAGGGGCTTTTCCAGCTTCTCCCTCCTTCCACCCTGTGAGAGCCATGTAGACAGTTAATTAACAAATGCAGCAGAATGGATGGTGGAGAATAGAAGGAATGCTCTTGCTCCACAGTTCCCCGATCTGAAGCTGCTGACATTTTTAGTCCTACCACAGCAAAAGGGAGAAGCCTTAATGCTAAACCACATACAGTTTTGACAGTTATGTGGCATGACATTTTTATTGCTCGTCTAAGAACTTTTATTACCTGTGACTGACCAGAAAGGTCCTAGGGCGTGCCATGATTTTCTTCCAGGCTGCACTCCACCAAGTACAAGATAAAATTACTTAATGAGTTGGGCTTGTTCCGTGGATGTGTATGTGTGTGTGCGTGTGTGTGTGTGTACGTGTGTCTGTGTGTGAGAGAGAGACACAGAGACAGAGAGAGAATTTGTCTTTTTAAGTGTGACCTTTTAGATCTATCTTTGACTTCAGTGAGTGCTCCTAATTTCTACACCGAGTATAAATTTTATATTTTAAATTGAATAGCTCTAGTTCAGATAACTGTGTTTAAATGTCTTCACGGTGGCACAAGGAAGCATGATTTTGTGAAGCCTTAGAAATACCGTGCTCCTGATATAGATGCAGTGAACCAGTTGCAGAACTGCTGGTGTGTCAGGTCAGTGCTCTCTGCTTCAGTAGAGAGAATACCTTCTCCTTAGAGGTGTCATTGTTTCTACATGTTTCATTTCATTTTGTCACTAAGTGCAGTTTTGAAATACAAGTACTTTATAGCTTTATTTTACTATGTGGTTTGGCATGAGCTTATATTTCAACTTCAGTTTTTTTTTCATATCTGCATGTAAACTATTTTTCTAAACACAAGTAAGATAATGTATTTTTAATGCTTTTATCAAGTGCTAGGATAGTATATTTATGAGGTTAATTTTACTCTTTTGCCAGTAAATGCATTGCAAGATTGTTCTTGAAGTAATAAAAGTCAGTACTGATATGAGGTGAGGATTTATGCAAAATACTGACCTTTAAGAGATAGAATCAAAGTTTGTTATGATTCTCTTTTTCAGGAATGTTCATTACTGTAATGCCCCAAGTCTTCCTTCTTCCTCACGTTCAGAGACTCTCCTATCTTTGAATTTAAAATAAAACTGAATTATTTTCTTTCTTTATTCTGCTTTAGGTTTCTGCTAAATGCTTCCATATATTTACATTTGTTAATTGCCTTTTGGACTTCATTAAAATACATTTGACAACAAGAGGAGCTTGACTTTATTTACAATAATCATTTTGGGACCTAGAACTACAGGCTTATCACAAGGTTTGCTGAGTGGAAGAATGAATGCATGAATGGGTGGACTGATGTATAAATAACGAAAATTCTTCTGTAATTTGTAGTGCACCTGTCAAGAAACAGTCTATACAAGAAAACTAGTAATATTGAAACAGTTAATATTGTATAAATCCAAGTTCTTTGTCTCATTAAATTGAAGAATAAAATCATGAACAAAATGAATTTAGGAGCGGGTTTATTAGAAATAATAAGACACAAAACTCTTCGTGGATATTCCCCAAGGGAAGATGGAATTCTACCTGCTTTCTTTGTCTTGGCCTTATCTATAGGCAGAGCACAGGGAACCTATTTCAAACAGGTGGTTTGTGGGTGGAGGGTTTAAAGCAAATTGGTTATCTAGCTGGTTCAAAGGAAACCGGTTAATTTGTACTGCCAAGTTTTTCTAAGTTTGCTCAGGAGGTAAGTAGGAATGGCCTCCTTCTTTAGAGGAAGGATTCTAATTTCCCTATTTCTGCTCTAAGTTTATATTTTGTTGCTGTGTTTTCTTTTACAACTCTAAACTTGGCTTAGCTGCTGGAATGTAGCTCTTAACCTAGGTGGGCTGTTTAGTTTTATTCAACCCTATCCTTAGGCTGCTGTTAATATAGGAAAAATGTAACTCCCAACCTGTTAAATGTCAGATGTACCAGTATGTGGTCTTTAGCGAACTTGGGAACAAATGAAGGAATTTAGGAAAGTTTTATTGGAACTAGGGAGAGGATAACTCCTGGATTTCCAGGAGGGGTCCCGAATGGGCTACCACCAAGGCCCTTTATCAGGGGTAATTTGTACAGCAAAGTCACCATGTGGGTACCACATGGTTCAAAATACAATCAACCTGTAGGATCACAAGTGTAGTCATTCAGCTAATATTGACCCAATAGAGCAAAAGGGAAACTGGAAAAAAAGATAGGAAAATAGGAAATTGATCCAACAAGGAAATAGTTACTAAGCAAGGGTACATGGAAAGAGAGAAAATTCTTGGAAAGGTAGGGGAGTATGGGTCTAGATGTCCTGGTCACCCACTTACATATATGATGCCTATCCGGCGTCCACGGGAACAGGTGGTGCTAGTTGCGTATAATCTCAAGTTGCTGCTTACTTCCAGGCGGACAAGCAGGCCTCACTGCTGCGTTTCCATCCAGAGGCTGGTTCTCTTCAGATTTGCCATTAGCCGTAACTGCAGTGTCTTTTATTTTTTGTGCTGACTTCTTGGGGGCTCGATCTCTCTCTGACTGTGTAGTAGTTTCTAACTTAGCTGCCTATAACACTCTGACTGCTTATAACAACTACACTAAACTACTACAATATCAGACATCCTCTGGAAACACGCATTGTATCAGAGTTAAAAGCAGAGCTTGCTGAAGTTACCCAGGAGTACTATGACAGCAACTGTCCTAGCCACGTTTCCGTCACTACTCACTCTCTATCGGGCACTTGTTTCGGGCCTGACTTAGAACTCATACTTAATGCCTCTGTGTCACTATTCCACACTGTTCTGTGCGCACACTAAATGTACTTCTGCCTCACCGAGCCAGTTAGACTGGCCTTTACAACCAGCTCAGCTCAGGTAGAAGGTAAGAGTGGTAGGACCGGGACTCCAGTTCCGGTTAGCCCAACTCCAAAACGCAGACGGGTGCCCGGAAGACTCACTGTCTTCTCTTATCCACGGTGACTTTTACAATTATATAGAATTGAATCTGGCAAAAGAAAATACTGGCAGACACGCTGACGGACAAAGTGGTGAGGCAGCGGTGGTACCTTACCTACGTACAGTCACAAGAATAATCAGTCCGGTGCTGAGACACGTACAGTACAGCAAGCACAGGGTGACTCACTGAAGAAACCACTATATACCATGCATTCAGTGTACAGAAACGCAAACCGAAAAACAGCCGCAATTTATGAAGCTAAAAACGAAAACGTTCATCGCGGAGCTTCTTTGCACAGAACTATACAACAAAAACCTTGCAGAAGTGTGGGGTGAGTGTGCGCGTGTCTTTTCTTTTGTCTCTCGTCTTTTCTTCTCCTTTCTGTTATACACACACACAGCACATTATATTCACATAGCCCCACGGGTCATATACTTGGTATAAAGAAAAGAGTTCTAGGTTTGCCAAGAGGCTTGAATTCGTACCCTAAAATTGTGCATTGTAGTCCTTGATCTGCAAGGAAGCGTACACCCTAGGCGGGTGCTCTGAGGCTGCGCGCTCGGCCGTCTCCAGCAGCTTCGGGATCTGAGTCCGGCATTCAGGCCCTGGCTTTCTCCGGCGGGGCTGGGTTGTGCGGGTTAGTCGCGTACTGCAGGAAAGCTTTCTGACTGGTGCCCCGCAAGGCGGCAAGCGCCGGGTCCTGCGCCTCCCGGGCCCCCGGGGTCCTGCTGAATTTCCCTGCCCTTTCCTGCGGTCTCCAACCTGTTCCTTCCCATTTGCGGAGCTCACGCGCTCCCTCTGCCGGAGAACCGCGTGAGGACCCGCCCGGCCTCCTGGTTGCTATGGTACCGCGGTCCGCGGTCGCCAAGGAGACCGCGGCGGAAACAGAGGAGCGGCGGCTGCGAGGCGAGGCGGGTCTCGGTGAGCGGCCGGCGGGTGCGGCCGGCTG